GAGCGTAAAAATGCAAAACTCACTGACCTTTGTAATTAATTTTTTTCATTACTTTACACGAAATCGCCCTGACACGGAGATATATGAATGAATGTTACAACCGCTTTAATTCATTCTATAAGTCAGAAGTTTTCTCTGATTTGTTTATACTTCAGCGTTCGGCAACAATTGCAACGTTCTAATGCGCTAAAAATCGTGTGATTAAAAACTTAATGTGCATTCATCGTCTTTCTTAGGACAATTTTGGAGAATTTATTTTATTGACTTATTTATTCATTCATTTATTGGTTTACTTATTTATTATTTATTTTATTTATTTTTTTTTTTTTGGCACCTGACATTATATTACAATAAAATAGTTTCAATGCAAGGAAAAGATCAGAGGCATTCCGAATATATCGTTCATTTTGCGTTCACCGTTCGTTCACCGTTCACTTTGCGTTCGCGTTTGCGCTCCGTTCGCGTTCTGCGTTTGCTCACCGTTCAACGTTCACACATCGTTCACCAAGTTGCGTTCAGCGTTCACACATCGTTCACTCACCGTTCGCTCTGCGTTCGTTCAGCGTTCGCTCACCGTTCAAGTGGGAAAGTAGAAGGTTTCAGGGACTGTATGTCTTGACTGTCATAATTATGCATGGTATTTAATATAGAAATTTTTTTTTAAAACAATATAGATGGACCTTCAAATGATATAAACATTGTCCCTTTTCAAGAACCCTTTATACACTGCACACAGAAGAATCTGATTTTATGGTATTTTAGGGAGTTAGAGTTATCTACTCTTAGATCTAAAATTCAATAAACTAAATTCTACAGTCTAATAACTCAAACTGTAATTAATGCCAGCATTCTTAACATTTGAATAGTCCAAGATAAATAAACTAAACACTACTTGGATGTTTTTTTCCCACTTAAGTAAATAACAGTGATTTCTGTTTATCAATACTACAACGTCTTTAATTTTTTGAGAATAAGTACCCTTTGTTGAAAATGAAATTATAATAGATAATCTCAATATTTGTACCTTTATACGATGTAGTTTTCTCATTATCAAAAACAAAAAAAAAGAAAGAAGAAAACTTGATTTAGTGCATAGAGGCTCCTTCAAAGTGAGAAAAACATATAAATCCTTAGAAAGGGATAAAGATGTGCTATCATAAATAAATGGCTAAAGATCTTCTTTACTCTTGATGTTTTATAGACGACACACATGTACAGGAATATGATAATGATGAATCCTTACCAAACTAAAAAAAAAAGTCTAGACCAATGTAAATGGGCAAATAGTTCTCTAGCCTCAGAAACACGTGATATCTGCAATAATATATGTAGGTGACCCCGAAGGCTCAAATACCTGTTTTGTTTTGTTTTTATGTCCCGCCATAAGTATGGCCGGGGCATATAGAGGTACAGTGTATACGGGATTCCTAAACTTCATAAAAATCCTGATAGACTAAAATACATTGCAGGGTCCAGCAAATACTCTACCAAGTCCCCATCTCTATTACTTACAGAAATAATAAATGCTGTTAATTATGGAGAAACTTCAAACATTCTGTAATACAGCATTAAAAGTGGTGTGAATTAAATGGGATTCTCTAAAACATGTAAAACTCCAAAGAATATTTTTTTTGAAAATTCAATATCACATTATTTTTCCCTAAAAAGTATCACTAACATTAAAAAATGTCCCACTTTACACTTTATAAAACAGTTCCTCAAGATAAATTAAAAACCAGGCGTTTTGAAATCATGCAGAGACACCTGCTACTTCAATAACCAGAAGTCTCTGTCGAGAGTGTAGCTCTACTGGTTTCTACTTATAACAATTAAGGAAGAGAAAAGTACCACTTGGACTTGAAACTTTGCAACAGCAATAAATAAATAGTAATCCTTGTTTTACTCTCTTTTTGTGGCAAGATGAATTGCAGTCAGACTAAAACTGTAAAAGGAGTAGCCATTTAAAAGATTTTAGAGAAATTTGGATTTTAGTTACCATGGCAACATTATACATCAAAATTAAAAAAAAAATTAAGACAATTATGTATCTCAGTGTAGTCTACTTGCATGCCATGTTATATTAAAATCAGACCAAACTGTAGGCAAAGTAATGTTTTGAAAGTATATCAAAGAAATTCAATTTTTTTGTAACCATGGCAACACTTCACCAAAATAAAAAAAAAAATTGATATACAGAATAATGTATCTTAGTGTAATCTACTTGTGTGCCAAGGTATATTGAAATCATCCCAAAACTGTAGGAGGAGTAGCATTTTGAATGTATTTCACAGAGATTTCTATTTTTAGTAACCATGGCAACACCGTTCATCGAAATCAAAAACCGATTCACAGAATTATGTATCTTATTGTAGTCTACTTATATTGAAATCAGATCAAAACTGTAGAAGGAGTAGCATTTTCAAAAAAAAAAAATGTTTACAGACAGACGGACGGACAGACAGACAGACGGACGGACGACGGACACCTTACTATCGCATAAGCTCTTCTGGTCTCTGACCAGTAGAGCTGAAAATGAAACTCGGAGAGAAGATGGGCGAAAAAAGCGATCGAATTGTCTATATGGTGCGAAAAATGTAAAGCTGAAAAAAAATTGAACCTCAATTATGAGAGAATTTTCTTTGATATTTCAGCTAACACATAAAATAACAATAAAGTATACCTTATGTAAAATCTCCAATTTGCAAAAATGTTATAAAGATTGAATATTTTTTGTGTATGAAATAGCACACACACCAAAAGAGGATTAAAAAGATTATCTTATCATATTATTAGACAAATTTTCCTTAATAGGTGGTCTTCATTCCACATTTTTTTGAAAATTTATGCTCAAAATTTCCATTATACATATACATTTTTGGTTTATAAAAATATAGAGCAAAGACCCATTCTTTAACTTTTCCTTAAAAAAATACACTTCTATGACTTAAAAGTCGTATCTTTCCGAAACATACTTGAAGTCAATCTAGTCGAGGATCATACCACAAACATGATTTAGACTGTAGAAATTGCGATGGGCACTAATTGTGCTCCTTTGTTAGCTGACCTGTTTAGCTCACCTGACCTAAAAGCTCAAGTAACCTTTTCTGATCACATTTTGTTTGAAATCCGTTAGTCCCTAAGTTTTTCACATTTTCAACTTCTTCTCTAAAACCACTGGACCAATTTCAACTAAACTTGTCGCAAACCATGCTTGGGTGAAGGGGATTCAAGTTTGTTCAAATAAAGTCCCACGCCCTATTTCAAGGGGGAATGATTAAGAATTAGTTAAAATTTGGTGGTACCTTTTAATACTCTTCTCAAGATCCACTACGCCAAAAAAAAGTTGAGATTTATGTGAAACCTTTTTTAAATAGTGTAGGTTAAATTTTTTATTTGATCTTGAGCGCTGGGGATGTAAATGAACAGGATATTTTTTTTACGTTCAAATTAAAATTTTCACCGATTTTGAACTTGAATAGCCCCACGTTTCTATAGTTAAATTGACTTTAAACTGTGTATGATATTTAAATGCAGAGTCCGTAAATAAATCGATTACTGCTTTAAATTTCTAATATCTATGAAACGTGATTGATTTAATTTGTGTAATTTACAGGAGAGTCCTATCTTTATATAAAGTATTAAAACAAATAGATAGATCTTTTTTTAAATTCTAGTTAGTCTGAATTTATCAAAAATACGTCATACATGACTTTAACATAGGAATACGTAGAAAAAAATCATTAAAAATCTTCTCAAGAACAGGAAAACCATAATTGATCATATTTTGATATTTATTAAACTTTGATCGCCCATTGTGGCCCTACCCAATTCCTGCGGGTCATGATCTTAACAAAAATCTACACTACCTGGGGATGCTTTCACATGTATCATCTTTCATTGCCCAGTTTAAAAGATGCCATTAATTTTCACTATTCTGTAATTATCTCTCCTTGGAAGATCAAAGGCCTGGTCCTTCGTTTGAACAAACTTGAATCCCCATTACCCAAGGATACCTTGTTGTAATATAGTTGAAACTGGATAAGTGGTTCTGGAGAAGATGATATTACATGTTTATAAAGTTTACAATGACAAACACTGACAAATTTTGATCAGAACAGCACACTGAGCCTTCCCTCAAGTGGGCAAATAAACTTGCTGGATTTTACAAAAGGAGCAATTGCGTTTTTTTTTTTTTTGTTTTGTTTTGTTTTTTTTTTCAATTGTACCCAAATTATCTTTTTTTAAAGAATAACAAAAAAGCATAAATACATGTAATTATATTTTTAACCAAGTCTTCAAAAATATCTTTATTAAAACATCATTCAATAAATATATGGGACATTGTGCACACCCAGTGTAGCTACACATGTACTCTGTACACAGATATTTCAACAAAATAAAGTATTAGGATGTTTAAACATAATTTAAATACTATAGTTAAAAATTAACTTAGAATTATTACATATATGATAAATAGCACACATACAAATCACAAACAAAGACCATATATACAAATCACAAAAAAGAGCACATATACAAATCGCAAACAAAGAGCACATATACAAATCAAAAACAAAGAGCACATATACAAATCACAAACAAAAAATCTTTTGTACACTAAAACCTTTACAAGGAAGAATATCATAGTATTACACTGTCTTTTACATTAAATAATTTATGAAGTAGAACTACCATATCATTATACAAACCAAGTTAATAAAAAAGTTATTGGGACATATTTGCTTTTGTCTAATGTACACTTTCTTCCATCTAATATGTTCTATAATTTACCCCATTTCTATGGAAAAATGCCAATAAATGGCTACTAATTAAAGCAAAAAAAAAAATAAATAAAATCCCTCAGGATTAACAATGGACTTTTGTGTTATTGCTAAACTTGTCCCTTCATCACACTGCACCTTCTTTGTAGAACACCTGACCATATTCTGCTGTTAATTCATCACATATAAGACCTTTGAAACCAATAAAAAAACACCCTGAGCAAGATTTCTTGCATACATAAAAACAGCCACTTTCCAGAGGTTATCCTAGGATATAGCACAAAACAGCAGCATACCACTATGAATTTGTTCCTATTTATGCGATGTCTTCCATTTCTAATGGTATAGCATCTGGTATTTTCCCATGTCTCCTGTTATAAATAGACAGAGCACGTAGAACGGCCAGGGTGCCGACTCCGGATAGTCCAATCATAAGGTAGAACATCCCAGACCAGCCGTGGTTCGCTGATATCACCCCAATAATGGGACCCTCCAAAAAGGTACTAACACTGCCAAAACCTGAAAAGACAGGAGAGGTTATCATTATATGCATTAAATATACCCCCCCCCTTTATTATTACTTAAAAGGTCCCAACATTACCAAAACCTGAAAAACAAAAGAGAAAATACCTTAATATGTATCCTCATTATTATTTTCATTTTCAAAATATGGGCTGTTATGATTTTTAATTATTTTTCCTGGTAAAATACAGCCAGCTTTGGACTTTTAATGTCAGAAATGATTTATTCCTGTTCATATCTACAGAAGTATTCTTCAAAACACAAAAGAGCTAATTTTGACAGCACATAAAAAGGAACAATTTTGAAATAAAATACAAAAGTAGTACATGCATTTGTTTAAGGCTGGATGGCCTATAAAGTTTAAAGTGTATCATCATGGGAATTTAAGTTACAATGTGTGTGTTTCTTGGTATTGTTTAGAAAATAAATTGATTAAAGATGCAAACTCTAGGTTCATTTGCATTCTTTAAAATATACTCCCCTCCCAATTTTTCTTTAGAAAATGAGGTGTCACAAAAATTTGCTGATATACAGTTCTCCATTTTGTATATCAAATGTACTCACCATTGACAAGACCAACAGCAGCAGTATTATTTCTATAGGAAATGCACTCACCATTGACAAGACCAACAGCTGCAGCGGCGGCATTTCTTCCATCCATCTCTCCCAGCTCATTAGGGATGGATCCACCTACAAAACAATTACACTGTAAGATCCACCTACGAAACAATTACAATGTAAGATCCACATACACAACAATTACAATGTAAAATCCACATACACAACAATTACAATGTAAGATCCACCTACAAAACAATCACATAGTATGATCCACCTACAAAACAATTACAATGTCAGATCCACATACACAACAATTACATTGTAAGATCCACCAACAGAACAATTAAAATGTTAGATCCACCTACAAAATCAATCACAATGTAAGATCCACCTACAAAACAATCGGAATGTCAGATCCACAAATTAATCACAATGTAATACACTGTGAATATTTGATATATAATTACTTAGGATGCTGTCAGGACCACAGGTGAACACTCCAGCTAAAAACATGAACACCGTGTTAAAGACAATTCCCCATGTACTGGTCAGATAAAACGCCAGGAGGGAGACAGCCGATAAAGCCACGGAATATCCGGTACCTGCTAAAGACCTGTAATTAGACAAAATTATGTTACAATTCTGGTTAATATCAATTTTGTAATTACGATATCTGTAAATTTTACTATTAAGGTATGAAAAGCATTTCTTTTTGGCATTTATTAGGCAAAATCAATACAGTTGCATGTAATTTGCAGATTATCTGTTGATAGGATATATATTGACTGGGGTAAGGGGGTGGGGGTATTCTGTGTACAGATAAAATTGAGTCACCATGAATCTTAAAACCTGACACACTTTTGGTGTCAGGTTCCTTGACCCTCTAAAACACCCCCTCCAATGTGTTGTAGAAGATTACCTGTCAATGACAATTTCTGTAACAGCACTGCCCCCTCCCAAACAGCCCCCTCCAATGTGTTGTAAACAGATAACCTGTCTATGACAATTCCTATAACAGCACTATCCCCTCCCAAATACCCCTCCAATGTGTTGTAGAAAAGATAACCTGTCAATGACAATTCCTATAACAGCACTGCCTAACACTCCACCCACCTCAAATGTTGTAGAAAACATACCAGCCTGGGCTTTGGTGTACTTTAACTGAAAAAGCATTTTAACATGCAAGATTTAGGTCAAAGATAAATGATATGAAAGAATAGATGACACATTTAAAGGTTAACACATTTAAATAACTAGGTCTTTCATGTTAACTTTAGATTTTACTTCAAGTATTATAAACAAATAATCTGTTAGAATCATGTTTGGTGTTGACTTTCTCTGCTTCTCAGGCACAGTGACCCAGATAGCATGACTACGTTGGGCCAACATTGGTAAATGGTTGCATGGTTGACGTTGGGTAGACAACGTTGGGCCAACGTTGGACCAATGTTACCATGTCAACCTTCTTGATCATGTTGGGATTCCTATGTTGGCCCAACGTTGGTCCAACGTAACCAACTTCTATATTCGCTCAACTTTCAAAGGGAGTTAGGATTCTAATGTTGGCCCAATGTTGGCCCAACGTTTGTAATACACCTTACTGAAAATGTCTAATCAAGTTGGTAGTAGTACGTCGGCCCAGCGTTGGCCCGATGTTGGCATGTATAAGTGTTTCAAGATGGGATATTTATATTGGGCCAATGTTGGCCCAATTATTGTACTGCCAACTAAATGATGGTGTCCATGTAAGCTGATGAGCGTTACGTTGGGCCAACGTTGGTTTCAAGTTCTTAAATCGTTATGTTCCGAATGTTGCCCCATTGAACTGTTGTGTTGCAAGCTTATTTGATTGCAAAACATTAATTTAGATGCACATTCTGAAATAATAGAGGGTATTCGCTGTACTTGCTTTTAATTGGATGACTGCATCTGTTTAGATCTGATATTTTCACCATTCTTATCTTTGAACTAAAGTGATCACAGCACCAAAAAAGTTTGTTTTTTTTTTTTTTTTTTTTTTTTTTTTTTTTTTTTTAAGTGGGTGCATGATTATTTATTAGTTTTAAAATCCTTAGCTCTAAATTATGAATTATTTCATGAGCGTTGTATTCATGAGAATAAGAGAAGACTGAATAACATTTAAAAAGTTCCAAAGAACAGGATATGAATGAAGCCTACATATACATAAATCAAGATAACACAGCTTTATAATTAAATTGAAACAAAAGTTAGGCGTTCGCTAAAGCTTGGAGAGTCGCGACGATTAAAACACCAAACTGTTGGGTGAGCTGTCAGATTCAATTGCTCACAAGTGGGTGATAGACTCAAAATGCAGAGCAAGTAAGAAGGGAGATTTAAAAACTATGGATTATACCATTGTTACAGCTGCATCTTAGAAGCGATGTAAGTATAATTATTCATATTAATTCAAGTTTACTGTTAAAATTGTTCGGAATTCATCCTTTTCTTGTTTATGCTCACAAGCACTATATAAGTTAATGTAAATATGAATTATATATGTACATACAGTTGGCACATACATGTACTTTAAACTTTTATTTACAATAACTTCTAGTGCTTATTAAGAAATACAATAATAAGTAAGGTAAAAACATTTTTCAACTTGTCTCCATCTATTGTCTATTGCATACACGATTATGATTTTTACAAGGATACTAAGGTTTATAGATCAACATGTACTAGTAGTATTTTACATCGTTGTCTTTAAAAGACTTAATTACATGATTTATATATTGGAGTCTGTACCAGTATTTACTTTGTTTCCAATTCCAAATTATTTGTATTTTCAATCGGAGACCGTAAGGAAAACAAATTTTGTAGCGGTAACTGACAAAGAAACTAAAGAACATAAAGGACTGTATGAAGTACGTATGCCTAAAATCAAGATGGAGGCCTGGGAGGCGACAAGGGGAGGAAAAAAGAAAGAGCGGGGAAGAAAACAAAAGGACAGTGATAGAGGAAGTGAGCCAGGATTAAGAACTTTAATATTTTTCATACATTTCCACCATTATCTATTTTAAAAGTAATTTTGTAAATTCTGATTGAATTGATATATATCTATAAAATAATTTTACAGTGAATCACTTGTAATGTTTTCTTTGAACGTGTATGCATTATGAATTCAGGTTGAAATGTGTATTATTTTTTTTTTAAACAATTACGAGAAAGGTCTAAATAAAGAATTATTTATAAATGTATTTTCAAGAAGTATTCATTCAATTTATTTAAACAGATGTAAGTTTCATCCAACAATTGGCCAACAGAAAGAAGCTTAAGGCCAATAAACCGTAAATATCGGACCAATCATTCAATGAAGGGTCAACGTTGGGCCAACCTAACTAACCGATTGCAAATGTTCCTATGTTGGCTGTTAGTTGGCTTACTATAATAACTACGTTGGCCCAACAATATGCCATCTGACATTTTAACAAAGGCCCAACATTGGGCCAACCTAACCAACCAGTTGTTAAGGTTGGCTGTTAGTTGGCTTACAATTATACCTACGTTGGCCCAACAATATGCCATCATGTTGGACCAACGTTGGGCCGATGAGCAAAATGACCGTGGGCCAACGTAGGACTACCAACAGTGGGCCAACGTTGGAAAAAAAATTGGGCCAACGTTGGCCCAACAATGTCTTGCTATCTGGGGATAAGCATAATATACATACATTATCCCATCTTTGCCTTCTCTGTCCTACTAATGCTTAGAGCACAATGTAAATTTGTAATCACTCAATAAGTAACTTTGTAATCACTCAATATGTAAATTTGTAATCACTCAATATGCAAATTTGTAATCACTCAATATGTAAATTTGTAATCACTCAATATGCAATACCTTCCCTTTTCTAGCGCAAAGAAAGAAATTAGCATTCAGTAAATACATTGGTAACCACAACATATACATGCAGTAACCCCCCCCCCCCTCTCTCTCTCTAATACTTACATCATTCAGTAAATACATTAGTAACCACATATACACACAATAATCCCCCTCCCCCTCTCTCCTTTCTCTCTCTCTCTCTCATACTTACAGCATTAAGTAAATACATTGGTAGCCAAATATACACACAATAATTCCCCTCCTCCTCTCTCTTTTCTCTCTCTCTCATACTCAAAGAATTGAGTAGATACATTGGTAACCACACTTACAGCCCCCTCCTCTCTCTCTCTCTCTCTCTCTCAGATACTTACAGCATTAAGTTACCACATATACATGCAGTATCTCAAAACCTTTAAACAGAAGACAGCATCATCCACCTCTGGTAACATCCTACCAACAAAAAAAGTCAACATATGATCTATAACTATAAAATTACCCACTATACATCTGAATCCTCTATCTACAGCATTCAGTTATTTGTATTAAACTACCATATATAAACTGACAATCATAAGTAATACGAAGTAAAATTATGAAACTGTCTTATATTCATTATATCATAATAAAAGCTACAAATTAAATAAATGTCGCAATGGGATTTTCCACATCTGCAACCATGAGGTGCTTCCTGTAGATTTTGATGATGTGGAACTCTTTGCTATAATGGAAAATAACTTCTTTAAATATGTTTGCATGGGATATCTAAATATAATTTATAAACATCGTCCTTGAATATCAATTGTGTCTTTCACGTACACTGGTCCTGATTTTTTATTTCTTCATTTTCTTACATTTCCAGGAATTTCTATGCTTCCCTTACTTACATTTTCCAGGAATTTCTATGCTTCCTTTACTTACATTTTTCCGGGAATTTCTATGCTTCCTTTACTTACATTTTTCCGGGAATTTCTATGCTTCCTTTGTTTACATTTTCCAGGAATTTCTATGCTTCCTTTACTTACATTTTCTGGGAATTTCTATGCTTCCTTTACTTACATTTTCTGGGAATTTCGATGCTTTATCTTCTCAATTAATTAAGTCCGATTTCTGTATAAGTTGTTGAAGATCATTATATCGTTCAATAGTTGTAAAGTTGTTTTTCGCCTCTTGAAATATATTAAAATGTTTTGGATTATATGTTGTCACAAAAAATATATTTCAAGAGGCGAAAAACAACTTTACAATTATTGAACGAGATAATGACCTTCAACAACTTATACAGAAATCGGACTTAATTCACAGCCAACAACAACCACCCAATTAAAGAACAAAATTATTGACCAGAGCTAAATTCAACTCCATTCCTGAAAAATATTCAGTATCAAAATGCGGTGATCCCAGATGTGGTACGTGCCCTTTTCTACGAACAGGATCCTCTATTATTTTCAAGCGTGGAAAAACTTTTTATGTAAATGAAAAAATGTCATGCAAAACCAAAAACCTTCTTTATTGCATAACTTGTAACAACTGCAGAGAGGAATACGTCGAATTACTTATTTTCAATACAAACCAAAAACTAAGTAATGTACTTCCAACAAGCACCTAAATAGTGGATAAAGGACATGAACTTATCGTCAACCCCCACCCCACCCCCTCTTTTCGGACGGAGTTTAAGTTGAGTTACTTTTCATGATATGCTCTATTATAACAAAATCAACCATCTTTGAGACAAACATGCTACCTTACATCACGTGACGAAGTTTAGTATTCACAAAGATACCTGATATAAGAAATCACTTGGTGAATTTATAATATTCAACATGTCACAACTGGTTACTAAAAGAAAAAAAAAGTTTTTTTTTTTTCTCTTTAAATCCACGTACCGGTATGTTTGTCTATTA